TATGGTCTCAGGTTTGTCTTTAGTTTCTCCCAGTTTAGGTTTGTAATTGCTCATGCTGAGTTGCCTGTTTTTGCCACCACCACCACCTTGTAAATAAACATCACTCTGTCATCAGTTCGCTGCATCTTGGGTCCTCCTTTCCCTCCACACCACACGGCTCCCTCCGCCAGCCGTGACAGTAAAGGGATAAGTGTAAAATGTAAATAAACTATATGTAATGTGTGTGCGAAATTATCCAGGCTAAAGAGTGAAAAAAGATATTAAAGCTAAATGATATGGCATGAGTAACTCACACATCTGTGAAGGCACCTTTAATGCTTAATGATTTATATAAAGGTTGTGGAGAAATATACTGACACCCACGAATCTCTTTTCTGGGGAGGATTTTATTGTCTCATTCTACACCTGATACAGTACAAAAAGAAAGTTTCTGGGTGCAAAACGTACTTATTGAAAACTTCCTCAGTATGTCCTGAAACTATCAAGTAGAAGTAAATTAGAAACAAAGTAAGCTGTAAATTGTTGAGCAGCTGAAATTCAGACAAGAGTGGAGGTGCGGGGAAAGCTCTTTAAAAACCAGGAAATCTTCCTTTCAAATCTCAAATGTATTCATCGTCTCTCATGTGTTTTGAAAGCTGTTGCACAGATCCAGTCCTCAGTTTCAGCAGCTGTTGTCTTCCAATTAGTTTCCAATTAAATGTAGAGTTTTGGAAATTACTGAATTCTCTTTTATTACATTTTTTAAAGGCTAGTCCATGACTGAATCAGTTGCTAATTGTTTTATTATCACATGCAGCTAATAATTACACATGCACTCCATCATACGACAGGGGCCTGGCATGGAGGACATGTGTAATGGACAAGGCTTAAGTCTAGTTCTGGACTTCCAGCTTTCTGTACTACATCATGCAGTTTGGATTCCTAAAAGAAGCCGGAAACATTGTTAAAATCTCCTGACATATTGATAAGTGCAGTCATAAGTACAGCAGGCCTTCTTTTGAGCAGATATCTGTAGCAATGAAGCCAGATTAAGAAAGCCTGAAGACTGATCCATTTAAGAAGAGACTTTGACATTGTGCTTGTGAATGCTTTTAAGTCATCTTCAGTACTTTTCTTCTCAGATTTCACTAATGCTAATTTCATAAGCATCCCAATATAAATATTAATACTCTCACTAATGAGGGCTTGCAAAGATGACTGAAATTAATCCTACTTAACTTAATCCAATCCTGCACAGTCCATGCCAAATTGAGAATTAATTTTGAATTCTATTTTAAAGTTAATTTTGTTGCCACATTAAAGACCATATTTAGCCCAACTTTTCCTTCTCTCTGACAGGTGGATTAACCAGCACGGAGAAGCCTCTGGAACTTATTAAACCAACGGCACACAACCATTTTGGTAGGGCTTATTTGTCTGTGTAAATGCATGTGTGTGAACTGTGTTTGGATCGGTGTTGATGGCTTGGATCAGTCTTGTCATTGTTTGGATTCACCGTACAAATTTTTATTACAGGTTTTTACAGGTTGGTCAGAAATGATACCCGGGTAGTCGATGACATTTAAACCAAGCTCTCAAATGGTAATAAGGGGCCAAAAAGTTTGCAGGGAAAATATCCCCAAAATTCATTACACCACCATCCAAACTGTTGGTTCCAGGGGGGGCTGGGTACCAGGGTACAAGGGGGGCTGGTTAGCCTCAGTTTCCTGTTCTTGGTTTACAGGAGAAGCACACGGTGTGGTATGTCTGTGAATGTTCTCAGTCATGGTCATCGTAGTCTAAGGAGCTTGGAAAGAAAAGCGTCTGGACTTCTTTAAGTTGCTTGAAGATATTTCACCTCTCATCCGAGAAGCTTCTTCAGTTCTAGGGTGAAATGGTGGAGTCCTAGATTTAAGCCGTGTGGGAGTTTCCCCCCGAGAGGGACAAAAGGACCCCCTAATGGTCCTCTACCTAATCACCTGAGCCAAGGTGTGAAAATGGGTGTAGGCCACAGTCAGCCAAGCCCCACCCTATCATGGGATTTTCTGAGGTCAGAAGGCCCAGGATATGAGAGGGCGTTAAGGCGTCTGGGAAGGAATCTCAAAACTGGATTATAGATGGCAGACAGTTTGTGCCGTAAACCACCGCCTCTGTTCAAAGAGGGTCGCTCATAGTGGACATGCATAGCTTCTTCCATTCCTCTTTCAAAACCATCATGATGTGGTGTTCTGCTGCTACAGCGCATCTGCTTCAAGGTTAGACGTTTTGTGTGTTCAGAGATGCTCTTCTGCGTATCCTGGTTGTAACGAGTGGTTATTTGAGTTCGTGTTGCTTTCCTATTAGCTCGAAACAGTCTGGATAATCTCCTCTTATCTCAACGGGGCTTTTTCACCCAGAGAGCTGCTGCTAACTGGATCATTTCTCTGTGTTGGATCATCGTAGAAATGGTTATGTGGTGAAAATCCCAGCAGATCAGCAGTTTCTGAAACACTCAGACCAGCTTTTCTGGCACCAACAACAATGCCACGTTCAAAGTAAATTAAATCACTTTTTCTCCTCTCTGTTCTGTTGCTCTGTTTGAACTTGAGCAGGTCATGTTGACAGTGTCTGCGTGTGCACATGCGCTGAGTTTCTGGCATGTGATTACCTGATTAGATACTTGGATAATGAGTATCTAAACCTGTTCAGTAATGAGCAGTTGAACAGGTTATCCAGTACAATTAATTCAGTGGTGTACATCTTACATGTGTTTACTGAGAGCTGAGCAATTGATCCAGTCTTGTCTTTGGGTGGTGTACACCACAGGTGATTACAGAACATTAATGCTCAGAGGTGATCAGGTTTCTCTTGCTTGCTAATATGTGGCTTAAGAGTACACCCTGTCAGTGTCTGATTATGAAGGAACTTATCATTTAGGCCCAGCCATGCAATCATTTCCACTAGCTGACGTTGCGTGTTGTTTTTAGTACATGACAATTTGCTATTCAGTGACAGACTCCGTTTAGAATTCGCTCTGCGTGTGTCACTTCATGTGCATTTACGTGAAAGTGCACGTGGCACAAGCAAATTTGGTTGGAACTTCATCTTCTTGTTGACTGGAACGTAGGATGATCGCGCCACATAAGCATGTCATCAACCCACAAGCGGTATGTTTGTCCCATGTGGCAGGACGAAATGCTGATGCAGCAGTGATGTCACAGATATGGGTGCCAAGGCTCGGAGCTGTAGTCTGCTAATAGTATGTTTCATTGCCTGCAGTGGTGACCCACGTAATGGCATAAACACACAGACAGACGCATGCACATAGACAATGGTGCAGAAGTTTTAGGCATTCGTGATCTTTAGATTGGTATCCATCCCGCAGTACTTTGAGGCGGAAAGCTTACTGGTGCCAAATACAAAGCACGAGAGTGATTGTAAAGGACTAACTTCAGTGACAAGAAGAACCATGAATCCTCCAGATTGTAAGGCCTCTGCTTTGATCTCACCAGCAATGAGTCAGTCCAGGAGACACGAAAACAACTCAACCGACTGCCTACATCCATGTATTTAATAAAACCCAAAACAACAAGTGGCTCTCAGAGGCTTTCAAGTTTCATTTTAGTTTTCATTTAAGTATAAAAAAATGTTAAAACCCCTGCTTTATGAATGAAATTGAAATAGAGTGTTTTTAGAGTTTCTTAGCAAAGCTGTAAATCTAGAAAGTTTTAGTCTTGCATAAAATTTGATGTCTGCTCGAAAGCTTTGGTGTAATTATGCGTTTATTGGAGCTTGGAGCATAATATAATGCATGTACACAATTATACCCCATTAGACCAACACACTTTATCCCCTCCTGCTCTACTCCTCGGTTAACTTTGGGCTAGATGCCTGCCTTTGTTGAGCTGGTATCTATAATATGGAGAGAAATGAACTTAATGATATTGACATTTACAAGTCTTTAACTGACTCCCTAATGAGAGAGCGAAACAGAAAGAATATGAACGTGTGGGCGAGTGAGCAAACTGAAAGGGGAAGTAAATGTGAAACTTATTAATGTACTGCAAGTCTGAGATTTGTAGAAAGTGTTAGAGCCTCACTGTAGCCTGTGTTCTCTGCTAATAGTGACAAGCAGGGATTAACCTTTGACCCCTTTCTCATGTGGTGGATAGGACCAATGGGGGTTAAACCTGTGTTATACACAAAATCGCATCACTGCGTAATGATACATTGACATTCACAAAAATGGAGAAGAGAAACTAACCCTGTGTCATATGAAAGAAGTGAAAGTAGTTTCTTAAAGGCACTATTTTTTGTGTGTGGTATGACTCATGTTTGTCACCATATCAACAAAGAAGCAGTTAAAAAATAAATTGTTTGAATTTATTTCAAGGCTTTAGTCACTTCCTCCATACAAATTGCTATAAATTGAAATATCAATAAGACCTCACTGACACAAGCTTACAGACCAGTAAATGACCACCTGGTAACCTCCAGCTTCTAAGAAAAAATGTGGTTTTCCTGATTGGTTGGCAAGTGGTTGCAAAGAGAATGCTGCACCAAAAAACTGATTGCCTCGGACGCCTGCACTTCCTACAGAAGACGGAAGGCGCCCACGCACTTGCAAACCGAGTCGCAGTAAAACTGAAAAAGACATGACACATACTGGAAAGTGGGCACTTTAAAACTTTTTTTTTTTTTTAATGTGCCTTACCTTTCCAAAGGTGAAACTTCAGAAGGTGGAAGATTTCCATTTCTAGTTTGGACCACAGTCTCCCGTTTCACAACTGTTAGACAAGTTAGTACCTTCCATACAAACTACATGTGACTATAGCAAATGCTCATTTCTTTTCCTCTTGTGGTGGTTGTAAGGTGGTCTCCAACTGGTCTCTACGTCTGTGTGACTGGCTCCATAAATTACAGTGTACATTACACTTTAAATGCTGAGAAGCTATACACAAAATGTCCCACAGTGTATTTAGAGTGGAAAAAATATTTCTAGGGCATTATATTACATTACTTGCTCTTGTGATGATATTTCAGTTATATTACACCAATTCCCTGTGAGAAAGAGTTTGGCGATGGTAGGAAGGAAGATCTGTTGTCTAACAGGAAGAGACCTGGCAGAACCAGCATCAGGGAGAGGCATCCATCTGCTGGGCCGGTTGGTGGGTGAGATGAAAGGGGAGGCAGCGCAGAGAGGACACGGTGCCTCTTTTGACTGTTTTTATTGAAATACACAGGTACTCTTAGCAGATTCCATTGATAATTTGACTTGCAGGAGTCAGTACTTCATGGCTCTTCATTGGGGTGCTTATCAAGTCAATGAGGTTAAAGTGAAGGGAAGTAGCTGTAAAAAGGATAAACTAAATAAAAAGAAAATCAGAGATCCGATTAACTGAACTGCCACAAAATTGATGTTGAATAGTGTCGATAGTACGCACACTAACAACAAAGGGCAGTGAAAAATGCAGAATTCCTGCTTTTTTGCACTTTCAGAGGTTGTTTGTTTTTTTTCATTAAGACATTTGATGTATTGTAGATAATTTTCTTGCAGAGCATCGAATATTGCAAAACTGCTGTCATGATACCATCATTGTGGGCAGCACACAGGAATAGTGTTTCATCACAGGTTGCAGCCACCCATACTGTGTATACCACAAAGGATCCGTCATAGATGGAAGATTAACCGGTTCTCTTCAAAGCTAGTACACTTGTATTTCCACAGTTAACTCGCTGGACTGAGATGCTGAATAAATTCACTTGAAAATGTGGAGACTGTTCCAACCCTAAGAATAACTAAATGTTTAAATGCCTGCCAAAAAAAGGACAACAGCATTTTATTGGAATAGGTACAGTACAATGGTCTATTAACACATTCATACGATGTGTTAGAATTAATTAAGTGGGTGCCAAGAGCAACAGTAACACTTCCTCTGTGTGTGTGTGTGTTTATTTGATGCTGCAAAGTCCATTTCAACACAGACCTTAATGAGATGCTAACAGCATCAGTGAGTGGTGCCGACCTTAAAGCCACAAGTCTGTGACTGTGCATTTTCTTTCTTTTTAAAGTTTCAGATCAAAATTTGAGTCAATCAGGCGACATGATGAATGCTACTGAAATTTAAAAATGAGGGAGATAATGAGGAAGACTCTGATAGAAACAGATTTGGGTGCATATTAATCAGGATGACTAAATTGCACCCAGGAGGAGGTACTGTAAGAGGAACAGAAGTCTGCACCTTCCAGAGTCACTTCCACACTTTGGATGTGAATGTAGGTTTGAGCAGCTGCTTCTATCAGTAAATGCACATGTGACATTAGACGAGGATGTGAAAATTACAGGCTAAACAAACGTGTATTAAGTGAGTTTTTTTGTGTGTGTGTTTGTGCTTAGTTTGGCTTATCTATCCATCCATCCCATCATATAGGCTAAACTGGGC